CCCTGAAATTTTCCTTCATGCTGTACCTTCTCTTAAGATGTAAGTATAAAGAGATTTCTAAGTAAGTCACCTCTAGTAAAAATTCTACAGGCTCTCATGACAGATGGCAAAATGCAAGCGTGGGATTTTGTTTCAGGAATAAAGTTGAAAAGTAATATAGCCAATCATTTAAAGAGAGGAGATTAAATTCAGACCATGTTCAACGTAACCTCTTCCCTGCCCCAACATAGATGGGTAAAAAAAAAAAAAAAATCCCAAATATGTCCTTGTGACTTAGCTGGCAGCCAAACAAGACACAGCCACTTGCAGCCTTCCTCCCTCAGCCCCTTCCCCCCCACCCAGGGAATCGGGGAGAGAATAGGAGGGATGAAGGTGAGGAGACTTGTGGGTTGAGATAAGAACAATTTGATAATTAGAGTAAAAATAAAATTAAAATAATAAGAATAATAAGAGTAACAATGATAACAAATATATGTGAGTGATGCAGAGTACAATTGCTCACCACCTGCTGATAATGATCCTGGAGGAGTGAAAAGGAACCCCGAAACCGAAATCACAATCCTGGAAAAGCAAGCCCAAGCAATTCCTGAGAGAATCCCCCCCTTTCCAGTCAGCCCCAGTTAATATACTAAACACGACATAATATGATGTGGAAAATCTTATTGGCATATCCAACTGTCAGTTCTGGGGTTTACTAACTACTGCACTTTTCTTCTCTGCTCCCCACTTCCAGTCCTCTGCTCTTGGAAACTGCCCAGGCACAGTGTCCTTGTAATTATCAACATTGTTCTCATAACAATCCTCACTGAAACCAAAACTCAGCACTTTCCAGCTACTAAGAAGAAAATTAACCCTATCCTAGCAAAAACCAGGACAGTCCTTTTCTTGACTGAAGAAGGCTCAGCTCCATTGTGGATGCCAAGAAACAAATCAGGTTTTAAAGCCCAGCTTCTCTGAAATACTGGTGCATTTCTAAGATACAGCCCTGCAGCTCTTGAAAATTTAGAGGACAGCATAAAACAATTCAAGTCGATTAACAGTAAATACAAAAACACATTGATGATCAGGTTGGTTTGAAGAAATGTGTGGAAAAGGGAGCTGGAATGGGCCTGTGTGATTCAGGATTCCTTGGTAAATAATTTCTGCTGGGTTTACCTAGCTGCTGTGAAAGGACCACTGGCTTTGTACTGTGTTATTTTTCCCTTGATTCTCTAGGAATACATAAGCATGATCCTGTTTCATGAAAGCACTTAAGAGGAGCATTTGAGCTGGATAATAGCTGTCTATTCATTCTTGCAACAGGAAATGTAGTTGTATGCACAGGATTTTGATAATACAACGGGAGACAAAAAGTACTTTCTTGCTGATGAACTAGAGAAAAGCTAGGGCAGTCGGCAGTTCATCAGCAAGAAAGTAACTGGCAGTAGTGTCTAGGTAGATGCCACGAGCATTTATAAATGTGAAGGAAGCGGGTTTTTTTTTGTTTTGTTTTGTTTTTTCTTGTTTACAAGGACACCTAGAGCTCCATTCTACATAGAGGGACTGTTGTAGACATACAAGGATGGGTCTCTAAGGTGGGAGCCGAATTTGTATGCCGTATGTACAGTTAAGACAGAAATAGCAAGATAAGATAAAAAATGAAAGTTGTCATTTGCAATACACTTATGAGCTGTGCTCATAAGGTTTGACTGGAATGTAGTCCAAATTATCCTGAATAAAAGATGGACTGTGCTGCTTGCCTGTATAAGTCACTGTCCTTGTGATTATAGCAGTGATTAAATTAATAGCAATAGTAAATAATGATTAAAAATTCATCATAGTTAACAGGTAGTAGAATGGTCAGCTATTATAGTAACCTCAGCTAAAGTAATGCTTAAGCTTAGGGAAAGGTGGTGCTATCTTTGAAAAGCAAGTTGCCTGTTCAAGGCTGACAGTGTCAAGAAATAGAATTATCGACTTGATTTGCAAGTTCAAACAGTGAACACCATCTGCTACTGGCAATATGTAACCAAAGGGCAGGGGGATGCATAAGCCAAACTGATGGTACAGTAAAGACTAAATAACTGGTTGTCAACCCCTTGTCCTAGGGGACTTTTCTAGGTGTCACATGATACCTCCCAGCACCTGCAGGTTGTGCTGGTGATTGGCTGTCAGTTAGCAGAGGTCTATTGCAATTATGATTTTCATAATCTCAAACTAGCTGCAAAGGAAAAGTCATGCAAAGACATAAGTGTAAGCAGATTAAGAAGCAGCCTTTCACAGTGCTATTTCTTTAAGCATTCTGCACTGTTAAATCTGTTTCGTAAGTTAAAAGAAGTCAGTGAGCAAACAGCAACATTAGGTTAACAGACAATAGGATGAGGAAAGATTGGGACAGACACAAAGAGTATAAATTGACATGGGCTAAAGGTCTTCTTGCCAATTATGTGAGGTTTTATGGGTAAATAATGGGTACAAGTGACACAGTGGTTAGAAACCTGATCCCTGTGCAGGCTGGAAGGTGTTGAGGCACTGAAGAGTTAAGTGTTGGCTTATCATATTTATGTGATAAAAGCTCCTCTGCTTGAGGATAGTGATGGCAGGGAGGAAGGGACACTAGAATAAAACCTGGGCTGCACCCAGGCCCATCACAGGAGCCATCAGCCCATCAAAGGCCCATCTACACCAGCCCAGGGGAGCAGAGAAGCCCAAGGGTAGTCAGGAACCCAAATTAGGGTTTCTAACATACCTTAGCACAGAAATTAAGAAACACACCTGATTTCTCTTTGGAGAGATCAGGAAGTTCCAAAAGCTGAACTTGACTGTTACAGTGCAAACGAGAGAAGGCCTTGCTAAAGTCAAGGTAAGCAACATGCACTGCTCTCTCTCTATCCCCTGAATTACTCATGTCATCAACTCTCACCAGATCAGCATGGCATCATTTGCCCCATTGGCAAACCCACACTGACTCTTCCCCATAACCTTGTTGTCCCTAACATCTTTGGAAATGGCTTCCAGGAGGATGTCTCCATCACCTTCCCATGCAGTAAGATGAGGCTGACTGGCCAGTAGTTCCCCAGCTCCTCGTCTCACCCTTCTTTAAGACGGGATAGATATTCCCTGTCTTCCAGGCATCAGGAGCTTCCCCCAGGTGCCATGGCCCCTCCAAGATCATCAAGACGAGCCCCACAGTGACACAAGAAGGACTTTCTAGTGAAGGAATTGACTGGACTTCTCTTTATTCCCTCAGCCCCCACCCCATTGTAACTGCTATCAACTCCTGTTACACCAGATGCCAACGCTGAATTTCTGTTCTGCTGCTCCACCAGCCAAGAACTTTCCTCTCTCACTGACAACTGGCAGCACACAGTGGGTTAGGAACAAACTTGAAAACAGGTCGTGTCTGAGTTTAATCACAATGACAACACAAAGTGGAGGCCAAGATGTTCTACATCTGCTTTCTCTGTGGATTGATGCTAGAAAATACCAAAAGCTGAACTTCTCTGACCACTCTTGTGCAGGCTGGAGAAGTTTCTTAACACCTTTTCCCTTTGCAGGCTACAAATTGTCCAGCTTCCCACAGGATTAAAACCTGTGGGATTTCCCAGTGTTGCATAGCTACCAGAAGCTCACGTACTACCTTCTGCCCAGACCACAAGATTCCTCTAAAATACAGGAAGAATCTGGGAACTGATTATTAGCAATACTTCAACTCTAGTCCCTGATATTAACACAATTGATCTTCAGGCCTCCCCAGAGGAAAAGGACACAAAGGCATGCTGGCCATTTGCCTGGCCTCCAGGACATGCTAAAGATGTAGCTGTGAACAGAGGTGAAGGGAGCAGAGGAGAGCTCTGGAGAGTTACATGGGCAGGGAAGGGGGTGGAAAGCAAAGTCAAGAAGGGGAACAATAAAACAAAGACATATACTAGATTACAAAGTTTATTAAATATCAAGTTGAAACAGAATATCTGGAATTAAATACAGTGTATTAGCTTCACAAAAATGTGTTAATATAAAAAGGAACAGTGTCACAGCAGCATTCATTGCTTTTGTCACTGCCTGTTAACTCAAGTCCTTCAATTAGTGGGTAAAACCCACAAATTTTTCCAGTCTTAATTCATCTCAGTACAACCATTCTTACTTTTCCAGAATTGGGACTTTGTTCTATAATCTTTTGATCGCTAGTGACTTTTGCAGACAGGAAATGACAACTGCAGATCTTGAGTAACAACAGGTAACTCCCTTAAAAAAGTAAAACTGCTTGTTGACACCAATGTCCCACAACACTGGCTAACATCTGGGCTACAGCCACCATATCAGCTGTTAGCAGCAACAAAAAAATTGGTTATCCTATCACACAAGTTTTGGAAAGTACCGAGGAGACTGAAAGACAATATATTAACTTTCCTTTTACCCCCTCTATATTAAGTGTATCAGATGCACCTCAGGTGTTCATGTAAGAACTGCAAATGTCTAAAGCTGCAGCAATTTTTAATGCAAAATTCAACATGAATACCATGAGAGGCAGTGGGCACAAACTGAAACACAGAAGATTCTGTCTGAACATCAGGAAACACTTTACTTCGGGGGTGACTGAGCACTGGCACAGGTTGCCCATGGAGGCTGTGTAGTCTCCATCCTTGGAGATATTCAAAAGCCAACACGGTCCTGGGCAACTGGCTCTAGGTGGTCTTCCTTGAGCAGGGGGGGCTGGACCAGATGACTTCCAGAGGTGCCCTGCAACCTCACCCATTCTGTGGTTCTGTGATACAAAGCAAACATACCAAAAAGACCACATAATAACTTCCTTGGCACTACTATACACTCACAGTAATTTTAAACCTAAGGCGCATAAAGTGACAGCAATGTAAAGTGCCCTATTCTCCAGCTTGAACACTGGTAAAACTTTCACTTTATCAGCAGCAATACTCACTGCAGCAGGCTCAAAGCACATCAAATAATGTCCTAAGCATTAAAATAACACTGGAAACATTAAAAACATAAGAGTGAAAGGACTTAGGACAAAGGGAATGCTTTTGTTAAAACACAGATCATGAGTGGAGCAAAATAATGCATCTAACTGAATAAGAAACATTTTAACAGTTCTGTCAAACTCAAGAATCAAGATTAGTCAATCTGCTAGTCAGAAAAAACAGACATGGTTCTTATTGCAGGTGCAAAATAAAACAACTATGCATCAATAAACCAACAAATAAGTGTAATGTGCTTGACATCCATTTAATAGACTTAGAATTTATATTCATACAGCAATAAACAGGCTTTCACATCTGAACTGTGAGATGGGAAACCACAGGTGCACTGTGTAAACAAAATTATTTCCAGAGCCTTTCCCTAGCATTTTGTTCAAATCAGATAATTTTTGGTTAAAACGTCACGGTAGTCCTGTATTGCCCTGCAAAGGGGATCCTGGTCAACATGGAAATTTTTTGAAGATCCATCAGTAGATACCATGGGAGAAGCTCCAGCAGATCCAATTTCAAGTTCAGCAGTGGCTAGGGAGAAAAGAGACAAGATTCCTGGTGTTACTTTTACTGTAGACAGGGCCAAATAAGTCACTGTAAAAACATTATGGGTAACTGGAGAGACAACAACCAGAAAGATTTAAAAACTTCCAAGGGAACATAACAATGAAAGGTCTAGGCACAAAGGAAGAAACATATTTTTTTCCACATTTGCTTATCAGTCAACAGTATTTCTAAAGCTAGTGAAAGAAATTCCAGAGGCTAGACACTGAACATTGTCAGGGAATCCACAAATGACTCTTGCTTACACCAGTGCTAAATTTAGTTCCCTGCAGACCTCTTCAACCTCAAGTGTCTGTTTTCCTTAAACGTTCAAACTAGTGATTTACTGGAACACTACTCCTAAAAAACAACTTCTGCATTTGCTGTGACAAACTTTAAAAGAATAAGCCTGTGAAAACACAAACACCTTTGCACTGCAGTCAGGCCAGGATAAGTCTCCCAGCCTGGCACCTTCTCCGAGTAGTGTCTTTGTAATTTGCCCTGGTAAAACCCTCTTTCCTCCATTAAAACACATACTCAATGAAAGCAAACCCACCTTTGCCATCTTTCTCCAGCCACCTTTTTTCAGACAAAACATACTCTATGACTCCTAGCAGATGCACAATTATGTTCAAAATGCACACGGATACAATACAATGGCTTTGTGTCCATTCAGACACATGGAAAGAGCTATGGAAGCTACAGCTGAACACTCTCTATATGATTAAAAGCATACAGGAACAGAAGGAAATGCTCTCTGGGGCCACCTGCTGTGAAATAGCGCCAGCCACTGCAAAGTGGTGACTGGAAGAGTAATTATCATGAAATAGGTGGAATTCCTCTTTGGTCACCTGGCCTCAGTATTATAGAGCATGTTTTATGCTATGTATATTACAAGCATTCAACTCATGTTTGCCTAAACACTACTGACTGATCTTTTCTTAAAGAAAGGATATATTTTGTCACTGATTATAGTCGTCTTGCTTACTCAAAAAAGACTGAAACATATAAGCTACAAATACAAGCAATGAATGAGACACAGCAAAAATCAAAAACAGCCGAAAATGTCTGTGGTTTGGTTTAATGTTGAATGCAATCAATGCACATGGAAGGAGAAGCGATGGCTGAAGTCTATAAAAACCTTATCTCAGGGCTTTTTTTGTTTGATGTTTGTGCTTGAGGATTAACTCTAGTGAAAGGTGACTTCAGTTTAAGCCAAGTGTATCTGTGTGGCGGAAATAGGTAAATAGGTCAGTTTTCACATTGAAGTCTAAACTGGAAAGCTAGCAGAAAAAAAATGCCCTGTGCTTAGCACAGGAACTTGACAGCTTTCAAGCCATTATTTTCAAGAGTTAGAACAGTCATCTTTTTCCTTAAAAACACTCCTAACATAATAACACATTACCCTGTTCAAGTTCTTTAGTGATTTTTTCATCCAGTTCCCGCCGTACCTAGAATTATATAGAAAATATACAGTTAATATTTTAACTGTTACATTTTTGTAATATTAAACTTCTAAAACATTCTTAAAACCCACAGATAACGTGATAACAACTAAACATAACATCATCTTGGTTTGGGATTTGATTTTTAAGGAAGAGAAACTCTCAGTCAGCCAGGCTGTAGCATTCTAATTGCTCAGCAACATTAACTGTAGCAAAAAATCTCTAAGTCATCAGCTGGATTATAACTGGGCATTTAAAAAATATACAGGAAGAAAGCACAGTGGAGTATTACAATGAAGGTATGGCTAAAGTCTATCATCAAATACAGAATGTGATTTCAGTGCTGAGATACGCACAAATGCATCCACAGGGACACATTCAGCTGAGGCTGGCTTCTGTGACTTCATAAGAGAAGAGGTGCAACAGCAGCTGCTGCAGGAGTGACATATACCATTGTATAGAAAAAAAGCATGAGCCAATATTCTTTTCTCCACCTTAAGATGGAAAACTGAAAGAGCTTGAACAAGCCAAGATTTTTCTTTATTGTTATTGCAAATACCATAACATATATATATATAAAAACATTAAAACACACACAATTTTTTCTTAGTACAAAGTTCACAAGAAAAGATAGCAACAGCTGCTGCTTCTACACAGCAAGTGCTGTGTGTTTTATTATGTAACTGAAATCAGCTTGGATGACTAGAAGGAACACTTACTCCTTTCTCCCCTAGAAGGTGGTTATTGCTACCAATTAAGCTACTCTCACTTCTGACCTCAAAGTCTTCACAAGAAGAAATCAGATCTTTTGAAGAGTGATAGTCTAAGCACTATATGCTGCTGTTTATATTTGATGATACTTGCAACTCCTACATTTTTTCCATCGACTCTGTGACACACAAAAGTGAATTTCAAAATAGATACCATACAGCTTCCAGGCCTATGATGGCCACGAAGATGCTAGAGGATGTGGACCACGTCAGCTATATAGAGAGGCTCAGAGTGCTGCAACTGTTTCTTTACTGTAGTAGAGAAAGGTCAGTAGGACTTTATCTATGTGTATAAAAATCTGGTGGGGGAAGTAAAGAAGATTGAGCCTGACTCGTCAGTGGTGCCAACTGAAAGAACAAGAGGAATAGTCACAAATCAAAATAGAGGGAATTCCATTTTAAAATTAGGATTTTTGTTGTTGTTGTTAATTGTTAGCATGGTCAAACACTGGGACAAGTTGCCCAGAAAAGTTTGTGGAGTGTCCATCCTTGGAGATGTACAAAACCTGGCTGGACATAACCCTGAGCAACCTGCTGTTGCTGACTCTGCTTTGAGCAGGGGTGGGGCTGGACTAGATGATCTTCACAGGCCTCTTCTGCCCTCAGCTGTTCTGTGATTCTCTGATTTTAGTACTGAATCCCTAGGGGAATAAGTATTTATTTTATTAAATGAGCAGGCTCACCCAGCAACATACCAGCCAGAAAAAGAAATGAAACATTGTACAATGTACTCAACAGGCCACAGAGAGCAAGAGCCTCAGGAAGGGAAGCACTCTGCATACCCTCAGAAGAGAAGCAGTAACAGGCACTAACTCTGAGGGCCAAAGAAGTGGGGCCATAAACCAGCAAAGTGGAGGGAAGGGCTCTCTCTCCAGGACTACAGGGACAGCCATGACCAAATTCATCAGCTTCTCCAGGAGAAGAACCACTCAGTGGTACTTTGTTTGAATAGTCTGTGCCTTCACAGCTAGAAGAGGGGAGCACAGAGCTGACAGAAAAATGGAAAAGGAGCCCCTAAATTCCCAAACCTCTCATTGTTTTCAAGCACATACCAGCAGCAGTAAAATCCTGGGGAGAAGGGACCCCCCCTAACACATGAAATGAGACACAGGTAACAGAAAAAAGCAGGAAAACTAATGCCTAGACCAAAAGACGACCCAAAACCAGGACCAATCCTAAGCGAAGCAGTAGTAGTTGAGGTGTTAGAAGGAACCACTTTCCCTGGTTTCCAGAGCCTTCACAGTAACTAGAAGGTCCACATCACCCTCCTCAACACATGCAGATGAATCAAGAAAAGAAAAAGATATTGTTTTCCTCTTACTGATTTCATTAAAATCTTTGTGATTTTCATCCACACCTGCGGAAACAGAGACAGGTGGAAATAAAGCCAACACACTGATTCTGAAAAGGGAATTAAGAGCCAGGAAAAATACACCTTTGAGGACTATAACTTGCCTCCACTGTTCTCCTTCCCCCTAGAAAACACATCACACCTGACTATTCAAAACCATCTAAGCAGGTACTTCTCATCTCACTGCACATCTCTTCAGGCAGTAACATACTGGGTTCCCTTGCAGCAGTCACCTTCTCAACAGTTCTTTTTCAGAAAGCATTGTTGACTTACTACTTACCCACATGGGCTGCTTGAGCACAGAGTAAGTTGGATCCTGTAAGACTTCATGAGATGATACTCAGAGTCTAGGAATTCAGCTTCAGAACAGTACTGGTACTCCACACACAACTGCTGTTACTACCAAGAACTTTTTGCATATCAGAACTGGCAAGGAGGGGAAACCAGCCTACTGCTATAGTTTAAAGAAGTTCCATTTTAACAGATTATATCCATCCAGTGTCATTTTACAGACAGTTAACTGTCACAGAAGCCATAACATTACAAATACATAAAGCATGAAAGTACTCTGCAAGCAGTAATTCTTTCACTTGGACAAACTAACAAGTTTGAAATATTTGCAGTATTAGGAAAATGTTCTATCTAATGGCATAGATAGAAAAAAACATTTCCAGTATAAAATACCACCCAACATTAAACAATACTGGCTACAAACCTTGTAATGTATCTGGCTGCAGAGAAAAGAGAGAACAGATTTTTGATTAAGGAGCTGAAGAAGAAAGAAAAACAGCCTTAAGTTCTAAGGTCTTCAGTAAGAAATAAGAACATGGCCTAAGGTAAATGAAGCATGTAAAAAAGATAACACAAAGACTACTACAATAGAAGAGTGCAGATGGGAAACAAAATCAGAAAAGGAACAGAAAATGAGAGATAAGAGCAGGAAGCAGATATTCCTTTTCTCATGTTGTGTAGGAAAACTGGTTTCATCTAGCAGAGTTCACTATTTTCTATGTCAAGACACTCATTCATTTTCAGCAGCCTTTGGCACAGCTGTGAGGATTTAAGCTTAACATTTGTTAAACCTAACAACAGGACTCCAGTCTCAAAATCTCCTTGCAGGAGATAATAATTATTGTCTTAGTGTATGAACTAAGGCAGCAGTTCCCAAATTATGGTACAGAGACCACTAACAGTACCTCATATTTGTGTTTCATCTGCTTGATTCAGTTTAGTTCTGGATGGTGACATGCCAATTTATGAGCAGTTTGGGGTTAGCAGACCAGATCATAAAAAGACAAAAAGACCCCATCAAAGATCTCTTTACTCAAAGGACAGGCAATGCATATATACATCCTTCTTATGACATAAATCCTACTAGGAAAAAAATTTCAGCCAACCTCCTTCTAGAACATAATGAACTGCTAGTCACTACAGTCACTGTTTATAATTACATGCACAGAGTTTTTCGAGTATTTCTAATTTATTCCTCACTACTGGAGCTCTAATAAAAGTAAAACCAAAAAACCTCAAAGGCATTTGCATGTGATTGGGATTTTACTGGTTAAGGAGCTTGTGTCAATATAAACTTTTTTATATTTTTCAAGTTATTTTTGCACTTCCATTTCACGGTTATTAATTTCTGTAGCATATATATTTGATGAGGGGGAAGGGGCTATACAGTAATGGAATACTTTTTTAACGGTATTTTTTAAGAATACAATTCTCATTTTTTGCTAAACTTGCAACATGACCATCTTCAAAATGTAAGGTTATATGCTTAATCACTGACATTCGCCTCTCATGTTAGGTAGCGATTTAGGGCCTCTAAGACAAATTCCTTAGTTATGTCTAAAAGAAGCAAGTGTATCCACTTGCCAGAGGAGCACTTCTTCCACTTTTGCAATCAACAGCATTTACCAGTGTTTTTTTCCAACAATTGCATAGACAAAGAATTAATACCATCATTCTGAATTACAGCAGTACGAAGTATTTTCAACTCCTTGCCCCTGAAGCTATTTCAAAGCTTTTGCACAAACCAAATTTAAACAAACATGCTCCTCTTAAGAACAGCACATCCTCTACTTCAAATAGCCTTTCTCACCTTGAGGAGGCTACTGGGAGAAACACCAAATCTGCACAAAGAGCTTTGACTAAAAAAAGAAGTGCAAGACAACTACCTGAGGCACACTGCAATTTAAGCTCCTTAACTCCCTGTCATTATGAGCTTTAGTGGCAGGAGCATTTGTAATCTCCAGCCAAGAAGGCACTGCTCAGCTTGAATTTAAAGGCAAGACAAATTCTGTAGAAGAGAACCAGGTTACTGGAAAAAAATCTGAGGCATTACACTGAAGTGAACAGTGAAGTGAAGAAAAGGCTTAGAGTCCTAGAAACTCCTGTCTTTAAATAATCTGGTGAACAGGCAGAATACTAAGCAGCACAACCAGCAAACACTTCAAGACAGACTTAAACTGTAATCTCTAAATTCTTTCCTCACGCTCCAACTTGTCTCCTGAATGGCACAGGACTCCTGCAGAAATGACAGCACAGAGGGCGCATCTGGTAATTTTGTGTTTGGAACCTGATCGAGGTTCACCACCCATTACTGTAGGCAGCTTTTCCCCTTTTTGTTGCAGTTGTTATCCCGCAACGTCCCGTCCGGTCGAGGCGGCACAGAGACAAACACACACCCCGTCTCTGGGCCAATGAGCACTGACACCAATATGAGGATGCTGCAAATGGCGTTTAATGCTGTGCGACACAGTACTATATGGTGTGGGTTCACTACGTCACTTCCACCTGCTTACATCACAGGCTAAGTGCTATTGGCTACTAGGAGAGAGAGGGGGGTGTCTTACCTTTCCGTACAGCCCGATATCTTCCGGCCGCCAGACCCTATCTTACTACACCTTTTATTACTTCCTGACTTAAAGTCTTATTTTCCAATTCAATGTTTGTTTTTTTTTTTTGTTTTTTTTTTAGATGCCCATGTCAGGAATCCTGTACTTTGAGTTCCTCAGAGATATGGTATGGCTTCAAACACTGTTAATGACATACTGCACCCAGCTGAGGAAACTTAAGCCAGCAGTTCTAAGTGAAACATCCACTTAGATACTCCTAAGTAGCTAGCAACTACTGCACCTCTGAGAACCCTGTTTCTTTTTTCTGAAATAGAAGATCAGGTTTTAAGACTTTTCTGAATACATTGAACATTGAGTGACTTGAGGAGGCTACAGACACTGCCATTAGAATTAGTCTCAGTTGTTCCCTAACCGGTGATTACAGGGAAGAAATATCTCCAAAGAATGTGCAGCTGGATTTAGTAACAGGAAGGATAAATTCATGCTGGTAATCCTGAGTCCTGGAGACCAGTCCTCTGCTTTGATTGGGGGAAAACAGGCATGCTGAGATTTCCAGCTTTTTCTTAAGAGAACGTGGTAGAACTGGTAAGAAATGGGTTAAGTTCTCTGAGGATTTAACAGTAGTTTTATTCACCTTCATTCAAGCAATATAATTTTGGAATGTAATACTATATTAGAATTAAAAGCTAATCCCGAGAGGACAAACTGTGTATAGCAAGAACAAATTATCCTCAGCTCCTCAGCTGACAACAAACTAAAAGTCTGCAGGTTGTAAACAAGATCAGACAGAACTTGAGGGGACTAAATCCTACTCACAAAACAGCACTATGAAGGAGAAAAAAATTAGATACATAAGAAAGCCCCCAAACTAACAAACAAAACTCCACCTGACATCAGTAATTGGAGACTGGGGAAATGTCATACATAATTGTTCTTCAACTTCCTTGAGAGTCTGCTCAAGGCTGATGGGTATGTGTTGATTCTGTTTTTTTAACCTTCAAAGTGAAGCCTCAAAAAACAAAACCTAAAAGCATTTCCCAGCACAGCAATCCATCACAAAATGCGAGACGTATACTCTGAAAAGGAACTCTATGGGTGCTGTTGAAGTCAGGACACTCTGACAACCGTGTCACCATTCTCAGATCTAATACACACTTTTCTTGGAATCAGATCAAATGTTTTTCACAAGTAGATTTGGGAATTGTTTTTCACAGATGCCCAGAGAGTTCAAATTTATTAGAGAAAATTAAAATGGAAAGGACTACCTGAAGAATGTTGCTGTAAATTCAGTTAAGAAGCACTGAGTACTCCCATTTTCTTTCCCTTCACTGTCATCTTTTCCTGTTTATCTTCTTGTTCTTCTTCAAAAAAAGGCACAACTGTCAACCCTTTTCTTTTAAAATAGGGCAGCTTTTTGCCTAGAAGTGGGATGGCTTCCTCTTTTGCCTTTTTCTTCTTTTAACCTTGCTCCTATCTCTCTGTCCTTTCTTTTCCTCACTTGTTCCCTTGTCCTGGCCTTTTCCTTATTTCACTTTTGCAGTGGGTCCCTGAATTTTGCCTCCTTTCTACTGCTGGTATGCAGAACAGCCCCTGCAGATGGTACAGTACTAATTGCCTCAGGATTTCTTTCTGTAATGTATGTCCATCCCTCTAACCTGAAAAACACATTCACAGTGATACAGAAAAATTAATCTCTGTAACTGCCACTGCTGTACATTACCTACACATCTTTGTCTGTTTACCTTTTTTTTTTTCCTTAAACCAGGTGCAGTATGTAGACATACTGTTTAAATGGGTTCTTTCCAATGTGGGTGGGACCACTGAACTGAGATGAACTTAAGAAGTGAGTGAATACTTCTCACATTCATTCAGCAACAGAACACGTGGGTGACAGAACCCTGACTGAATAGAGAAGCTTGTCCATGCCTCAGTCCTATGCTAGGTGGGAAACTGACTGCAACTATTGCCATCTGGTTTCCAGATCTCATGATACAATGTTCACCATTCTGTGAGGGATGTGCTATCACACTGACTGCTAATTACAGGGCATACTTTGACCAGAAGTACTGCAGAGGTTGCAGCATTGCTGCAAAATTAGAAAGCTGTGAAGACTCTCTGAGTAGTCAATTTTACCTTTTAATGTAATAACACATAGTAGGAACTACAAACAAATGCCTCCTACACATAGTATACATCCCACACTGAAGTATAAAGTGAGAAGTTACACGATCCTGTTCATATCTTGTTATTTTTGAAGCATACTTTCATTGGTATCAATGTACTACAGTTAGAGTGAAGAAACTGCTAGAATGAAGATCAGTGAAGAATGAAAAGCTGTCTCAAAGAAAGATGGCTGATGGGATTTTGCAGTTACCATAAAGTTAGCTGTTTTAAATAGGTCATATATACTATACATTAAAATTTAATTAAAAGCTTAGCTGAGAACTTCCTATGCCACAGTATTCTTTATCTCTGTTTCTCACTATAAATGGATTTTAACTTTAGGCTAAAAAGCACAACCTTGCTTATGGACACCCTTTAGCAGTAGTTGAGAACAGTATTTCAAAACACTTACCTTAGCCACATAGGCTTCAACCCTGTTTCTTGATGATAACGTGTTCCCAGTTGGGCTTAGGAAGCTTCCTCCTAGACTCAGACTTCTGTTCAGTGCCAAATTGTTGCCAAGATGTCCCAGTTCAGTTGAATACAGAACTGGACTTGAAGCCAGACCTCCACTGACCATGCTGCTTGCGATTAAAGACTTGCTTCTATGGCGCTCCTGAAGGAGCTTAGCGTTGGCTTCTGCTAGTCTCTCATTAGCTCTGAAACATTCAGAAGCATACAAAAAATTATCTTTGGTAGTAACACTTTTGCAAAGTTACCTTCCAGGTCTTCAATTATTATTCAATTTCTGAAAGTGGAATGGATTAAAAGCTTCCAAAACAAGAATATAATTTGATCTGAAGTTTTTTGGAGAACCTATTTCTAACCTAGTCTGACCTAGACTAGCCTAGTCACACAACCTACACTAACTAACAGCAAGAGTTATCAACACCTAGGACTTCTCAATATCAGGGCTTCAAAGCAATCTGTGATGCCATGTGTTTACATAGCTTCTTCTGAAAGGTACATCACCTGCATAAGAACTCTGGGCTACCCTCCTTTTGCCAAGAAAAGCTCAAACCTCAGACATGCTGCTAAAACGGAAGCTAAAAAAGATTTTTTTTGCTTCACAGAATCAAGTTCTGTTCTCTGAAGGGCCTATCCTTATTCAAGCAGTAAAGGACATGAAATTTATCTTTTCTGCCATACATAGAATAAGAAGAGGAGATTATTAGAGACTGGCAAAAAGACTGCCTGTTAAAACACAACCAACTTAAAAAATACCCTTTTAGTGCCACAATCAGTGGTGTTACTGCTGTAACACTAAAGAGAAATTAATACAGTTCTAGTGAAGGGGAAGGGTTGTAAGGTACCTTCCTCACAAATATGCCATCTTATGCTTAAATACATAATGCTGACCAGATGTAGAAGAGGGATTTTAGGAGGAAACTGCATGAGGAAAAAGTAATATCTTATTACCACTCCAAAAAGGCATGGACCTACCTTTCCAGTTTATTTGCTAGACATCTTCTTATTTTTACTTCCTCCAGATAGAGCTCTTTGTACCTTTCCACTTCTGCCTGCGTGGATTCTTTTTGAAAAACATTGTCTTGTTGAGTATTTTTTATCCTGTCCAATTCACATTCAAGATCTCTAATTCTGTGTTTTAGCTGGTTTCTCAGGGAAGCATGATGACTGGCTCTGATTTGCTCTAATCTCTCCTGGGAGGCTGCCTGTGTCTGAAGTAGATAACGCACTTTCAAGCACCGCAAAGAAAAAGAGAACTTTCCCCACCAGTCAATTGCATGTACCCAATTTCAAGGACCCAGCTTTACTCAGTAAAGCAACTGTGCCACCTCACTACCATCAGCAGTCAAGACACAACCCTGGAACTACCACTTTAAATAATTATTTTCACTCAGAAGGAATCCTTCACACTATTATTCATCAAAGCTACTAATGAAAGAACACTATCACTGTAGAACAGGGCATATAGAAAAGGATTCCTCAAAGAAATTATGAGGATCCATCACCTTCATTCCGCACCTCCTGCAACTTCGTTGACTTCTTTTCTGAGCACTTTCCCCTATACAATGACAAAGCAGGACCAGTATGGCTGGCCATGACAACTGTAAGTTGCAACACCCATTCAACAATGAACAGTGAGAACAAGGTCAGTGGACAGCAATATTCCCCCGAGAACTGCAAAATGGAAAACTATCTCAGGCAAGCTTTTGATTCAGGGACCTGCAGTCACATTACACACACATGAAAGCATTCTTGCCCAACCATATTCCCTTCTCCCACTGCCCTTCAGGAAAGACAGAAGTACAGCACTAACACACAGAACCAGGTCCAAAGAAAAAAAAAATACTAAAAGATGACAACCACAACAAAAGTATATAATAAAGACTACAGACACACATGAGAAATTAACTTACCTGCAAAAATAGATTGACTTCCTGTAGTTTTTGCGTTATTTCTTGTCCAGCTCGTTCTTCCATCTCTCTTTTATATTGTTCTATTTGGCTGTGATCCACCATGCTTGTCTCTAAACGATGTTTGAGGTTAGCCACCTCTTCTTTCAGCTGGCATTTGCTCTTCTCCAGTTTTTCATGGTTCCCACGCACGGTGGACAACTCTTCTCGCAAATCCTGATTTTGTGCTTCTAGCTGTGTGCATTTTTTAGACTCTATCTCCAGCTGCTGGGAAAGTTCACCAATCTGTAGACAGAAAAAAAAAAAAAAAAGGAAAAAAGGAAACTCAGAGGGATCTAAAATCAGTCAGTTCTGTGAAAATCAGTAAAAGCATCAGCCATCAAGTCTGTATTTATCATCTGCTGACTCAGTATTAAACCCAAAGTGAAATCAGGCTGCTTTTTTAAAACAGGAACAGCTTTCACATAATTTCTGGTAGGATTCCTGAGGTTCCCATTCTTTCTCAGTTCTTCTGCAGTAGGTCACAGACCAAGAGGTATCAAACTAGCAGCATTTCACTTATACAGCTAGGATGAAAAGCACTAGGGCTGTTCTTCTGTGAGATACTCATATGCTTACGGGAAATCAAACACACCCATACGTAGCCACTTTCTGGTTTCATCAGAAACAACATCTATTATACTTTAGAAGAATTTTTACATGTTATCAACACAGTTAAAGCTTCCTTATGGAAAGGAAAAGACAAGAAAAAGATATTCTTGTTTTCCATTACACTGAAAGATTTGTAAATACTGGTTCAGAACACAGCTTTTACAGCAATGGTGGAGGAAGATGAATTCTCTTTAGGTCAAAACTGCAGGTTATTTTTTAAAATTTGCAGGAAATACCACTTTCAATAGGTCCCAATGGTAAACTACAGCTCTGTCCTCCTCTTCCCCGCTCCAGAAACATACCTTTTCTATAGCTACTGAACATAAACCACAATGTTCTGTCTTTTATTAAAACAGAAGTGGAGGAAACTAGCATAGTAAACACTTGAAAGAGTCTCTTACAGAAAGTAGAAACTTTAGACTTACTTAAAATTGTCTAATCGTAATGCCTTTCCCTGTCATTCAAAATAACTCTTCCAACAGAAACACAAAACCACTGCTAACTCTTGGACTAAAAGTGAGCCACTGCAAAGGCAGCTGGCTCATTCTACAATAATACGTTCTAAAAACAAACGTAGCTCTGAAACATGGCTGCTTTAGCAACAAATCTGAGTAATGAGCAGAGAAGTAGATAAAAGGTTACCTGCTACTGAACAGCCAAAGCAACCTCAAAAACACTTCTGGGAACTCTATTTCTAGGTCCCCATGACAAGGGAAAGATGGGCTGAGACAGCTACTAGTGAGCAGCTAAGTTACAGAACTTTTCCTGCATCACCTCACCACATCGTGCCCTGGGAATTAATGACACTACTTAGAAAAGCAAAACCCGAATTGCCTCCTGCTCAACTCATGCCTCAGATGGGGCTCAAGGCAAAGCCAACTTCCTACAGTTATTCTGAGTTATGGCAGTGTTACTCCCCTCTCCTCCAGAGGAGGAATTAATCTGTCAGAAGATACTGTCACGGCCTCAGGCTGCAGCCAGGCCTGTGCTCGGCGTCACTGCTCTCAGCCCTGACCCTCACTCATGGACGTGACATCCTGGCAGGACTGCAGACCTGCCTGTCCCTATGGACTCATCTGGCGATCTGCACTCTTGTCTGACCACACTTACTGTCACGGGATCTGTTCTGCTCTTCTTGGTGAGGGCCTGTGGGACTGTTCCCTGGCCCGTGAGGTCATGGACCCTGCCAGCCTTGCTGCGACTCTCAGCTCACCCTTCCTCTAAAGGGCAGCCTGCCCTTGCAGATACTGCTTTGCACATAATGTTTTAATCTTTACCCATAATGATAACTACAGCAGTATTAGTTATAGTCATCTACTACTGTAATGGTAGAAGAAACATTAAGAAAAGACCAACTGCATGAGTTTCAATAAGGCCAAATGCCAGGTTCTGCACTTTGGCCACAACATCCCCCAGCAGCGCTACAGGCTTGGGGAGGAGTGACTGGAGAGTTGCTCAGCAAAGAGGGATCTGGGGGTGCTGAATGATAGCCAGCTGAACATGAGCCAGCAGTGTGCCCAGGTGGCCAAGAAGGCCAACAGCACCCTGGCCTGTATCAGGAATAGTGTGGCCAGTAGGACCAGGAAGTTATCTTACCCCTGTACTCGGCACTGGTGAGGCCGCATCTCGAGTACTGTGTTCAGTTTTGGGCTCCTCACTACAAGCAGGACATGGAGGTGCTGGAGTGTGCCCAGCCAAGGGCAATGAAACTGGTGACGGGTCTAAAGCACGTGTCTTAAGAGGATCAGCTGAGAGAACTGGGGTTGTTCAGCCCGGAGAAAAGGAGGCTGAGGGGAGACCTTCTGGCTCTCTACAACTACCTGAAAGGAGGGTGTAGAGAGGTGGGAGTCAGGTTGTTCAACCAAGTAACAAGCGATAGGACAAGAGGAAACGGCCTCAAATTGTGCCAAGGGAAGTTTAGATTGGATATTAGGAATAATTTATTTACTGAAAAGGGCATCAGGCATTGGAACAGGTGGCCCAGGGCAATGGTGGAGTTCCCATCCCTGGAGGTATTTAAGCGTTGTGTAGACATAGTGCTTAGGGACATGATTTAGTTGGGGACTTGTCAGTGTGAGGTTAATGATTGGACTTGATGATCCTAAAGGTCTTTTCTAATCTAGGCAACTCTGTGATTCTGTGAAAAGTCAATCAATTCCAAAATACAGCCAAGGAAAAAAAAAAAAAGAAAAAATTGAAAAGAAGTATAGAGAAAGAATAACACAGGTTTCAAAAGAAAAAACACCACCACCAAAAAAGCACCCCAACAACCCAGAGCTCACCTTTGTTCTCAATCTACCAACTTCATTGACCATTTCAGAAAATCTGTTCTTCATTTCTCCCTGCAAATTAAGCTGGGACTCTCTCTCTTTCTCCTCATACACACGTAGTTTCTTCATAGCTCTGCTCAGAAGCCTCTTCAACCTGCACAGCAAATTAGTCAAGAAAACATTGATGCAAAGGAACAACCAGCCTTTTTCACATACTCTCATGTAAACAGGGCAGACGTGGCTTGCTTCATCTTTAATGTGCTTGACACACAAGAATTACCGAGGGAAAAACAGCATTCCCGTGCCTCAAAGCACTTGGAGGGTCCAAGTTTCACCTGAAAGGAGGAATGAACTACTTTGTGCCCCTCAGGAGAATTGCAGGGCAACCTGCATCTGCAGTTCTTCTGGCAGCTATTGAAAACTAAAGGCTCATGTAGAGAAGGGCCTTGCAAGAGCTAACATGAGGCTTGAATTTGCTCCCACACAGTTAAGTACACCTGTGTTTACACTGAAGTTCAGCAAAGCTTCTACTGGCTTCAGAAGTTCAGCTGACACCTATGCAGGGATACCTCTTCAGCATACTAAAAAGCCATACCTCTTACAGTCTTTCTGCAATTCAATGTTTCTTTTCATTTCTTGGTCCAGACGCAGTTCGACTGGGCGTTTCAACTCTACCAGCTTCTTCACTTTCTTTCTTTCACTCTCACACTTTCAAAATAGAAAAAATGACAGACAGCATAGGAAGAGTATCTACATGGAGTATGTGCATCTAGAATTCTCCACAGAGAAGCTGCAGTACATCTCTATCTGTTAGCCAAGTTCCACAGAATACCGAGGAAGAGCATTTCTGAGAATATTTAATCACTTCAGGTTTCACATCAAACAGGCCAATACCCAACAACAGAAACAGATGCCCCCTCTGAAGCAATGGGGGGGGCAACAGATGCCACCCTCTTCTAATGCTTCAAGGCACAAAAGTGTAAAAGATGCTGGTGAACACTTTTTGGCACTCTCTGCTCATAGCAGGCATTATTTAGGTATACACATCACGGGAGAACACAGATCAATCTAAAGCTTTCAGGGTATATTCAGTGACCAGCAGGCAGGGGCTTGTGCAGGAATTTGATCTTTTGGAATGCTTCAATGTTTTATTCCCCTCTGCCATTATGTCCACATCTTCTTTGTGGGTATTCACTTATACACATCTTGTTCTTCTTCTTGGTGTTTTCTCAGTCAAACCAGAGGAGACCTGGCAGCTGTTTTGACTTTGTACTTCCACTTTTTCCTCTACAGAAAAGAAGAAAAGGGAAAGACTGCCCCTTGGAAACTGGCAGCCATTTCTTGTTTCCTAAGCACTAGTTCATTTGCCTAAATTTTTTTCAGTATGTTTTTCTGCAAGGCTTTTAAACTCATGCTACCCTGAAAACACACAGCAGCTCCTTAACCCTGCCGAGAAACCACACGGTCAGAAGACAGCCTGAAGGAATCCAAGAAAGATCTGGGGAACTGCAGCCTTGCTTGATGTGCTCAGTTGATAGCAAACCACACTGGGAACTGTTCCCAACAGAACCACTCCAAAATTTACACAAAGATACCCAGCTAGCTTTTATTTGCTTTCTGGATGACCCCCACTAATCACAAGATACTTAGAGCCTGAACGGCAAAGATAACAGAAAAAGCTGAGTATGTAAGAACTTGACAAAAACACATGGTTCTCCTGGATGTTGGCTAGGCACCTGGAGAATTTTCTGGGCTCACCTGTTCCAAGAGTTCAGCCTTTTCCCTGTCAAGCTGAGCAACACGCTCTTCAAGGTGGGATCTTGACTTCAATTGCTCTTCCCACATGCTGTGCAAGTCCTTTGATGTCATAGTCAGCACATTCTGTTTTTGCATCTGTGAAAGCAACAGCGGCAAAAGAAAAAACTAAGGTGAGTGGAAAGATAACACTGCAACTGGGAAACAGGCCCAGTTGCCTGGCTCTTCTCTCCCCATCCAAGATCTACAGTTAAGGTTAATGCAGAGTATAAAACACATCTCAGGAAATATAACCAAGAATAGTAATTAAAGCTGGTTGAAAGAGTGACCACTCTAGAAGTGACAAAATGAAGTTACAGTTTTGGGGGATAAGAAGACAAGTGCACACACACACAAAATAATCCTACAACTTTCTTCCAAAGGTCCTCCAGATTTCATAATGATACATACTTTATAATATAATAATTCCTCTAGTGCCCACCGCAGAAAATACTCTACCCTCACGGCTTCTGTAACAACTGTACATCTCCTGAGAGCAAGAAATTGTTTTCAAATTGGCAACGCTATTTATGCTTCTACTCAAAGGGACAACGATTTGCCTAACAGATTTGAGTGGAATAGAACTTGCTGATTCAGTTCAGGTATAAAGAATGCAAGATGACTAGGTGCTTTTAGTGGTTTTCTGTAAGAAAAGGAAACAAACAAACAAAAAAGATATCTACCAATCTACAGTAAGTAATGAAAACCTTAGCACAAAGGGTTACATCAAAAATCCTTAGGGCGTACAAGTTTCTCAAGTGTCCTGACAAAGCAGGTGAAATGCTGGGTCTTATGACAGAAGCTAACATGGTCTCAAGGTAACCTCTGACAAAGCTGCAAAGGTAACATGGATGTCCCAAGACTAGTCTCCTCTCTCAGCCTTCAACTGCAGATCTCCCTGCTGCCCATAGCTTCCATCCTATCCATCATCTGCCATCATTTAACTCCAGTAAGCAGCTAAGCAACACACAGCCACTTGCTCACTCCCCTCTGGTGGGATGGGGGGAGAGAATTCATCAGATGAATCATGCTGATGAACACAAGTATCTTGCACACCACAACACAGATACAAAACACAGCAGCAAGGGAATAAGGAAATTTACAGCCTTTTCCCTGGAAGTGTCTTGCCCTAAAATCAGAAGGGTATTTGTCAGCTGAACTATGCCTACACAGCCCACTTGACCTTTTCATCAGTTATCTGCACACAAAAAATTCAAAGACTAAACCAGTCATTCACACAAGACAGTCGTGTACCTGTTGATGGTGGTGGTCCTCTGCAGCTGCCTGTGTTGTCCGTAAGCTAGTTATCAAGTCTTCCAGGCGGTTATGAACCTACAGAAGCATTAAAAGAAGACACACTATGACCTTCCAGACTGACGTTTACATCTCATTACCAAAAAGAAATATTACATACACCTCTTCATCTCTTTATGCCTATAGTATTTACACCCAGCACCAATGATCAAAATGGCCTTAGTTTGATGCCACTGTAAAATTCTTAGCAATCATCACCTCTGCTGTTTGCTTCAGGGACAAAGAACACCATGCAGGATACAAAGAATCTTCAGTGAAAACAGGCAGGAGTAGCTTTTCCCATCCACAGTACATTTGAAAAACATGCCTTATTAACCAAAAGTGAAGAACCAGCATCGTGACTACCTTTCCTTTTCTCTTACCAGTACAACACAAAGTTCAACTTTCACACGTTGTTATTTTCAAAATCTCTTCAGCATTAATTAACAACTACAGTCATAACAAGAACCCTAGTTCACTGTTTATAATACAAAAATAATTTGCTTCATACAGGCTACAGATGAAAGCATCTTATCTAAGCTAAAATTAACCACTGCATAGAGGTAGTGGAAAATTCTAAGGCTCACACAGAGTTCTGAAAAAGATGTCACAGGTATTCCTCCTTATTGTTTCATGAAAACAAACACACATCAGTTGGCCAAAGGAAAAGCAATTCTGCACAACAGCAGCTCTGGGGAGTATGATTTTTGATCCAGTGTAATGATGCCAGTCAGGCCTCTGGCACAAAGTGCTTGGCATCAATACCCCCTGTGGAATTTCCACGAGTTAATTTGATGAATACACATTGCATTGAGTACACATTGATACACATTGCAACAAGTGTCTGAACCAGCTTGTGATGTCACAATGGGACTAAAGCAAAAAACTTACAGCAGTGCATTAGTGTGAAATCCTTACCTCTTGGAGCATTAAGTAGGACTTGCTACTGTAGCATGGGAAAACTCTCAAAACCAGAAGGCTGGGGAATGGACCAAGCTGCTTTCTGAGCAGCCTATATCCAGCAGAATACAGGAGCCGAGTTCCCCTAGGCTCTCCAGGCAAACCTCATCTTAACATTTCCCCAAAGAAATAGGAAACTAGGCTCAGGAGCTCAGAAAAAGGGAAG